AAGGTTAGTGCTGCTTTTTATTTTTTATCTCATATGGCTAAAACTAGTGCTGAAGGAATGAAAAAGCATCGAGAAAAACTTAAACAAGATAAAATAAGATATGAAGGAGCAAAGGCAAAAGCTCGTACTCGTTACAGTTCAATAAGAAGCAGATTGACAGGAGCTAGTCTAGAAGAATTTCGTAAAAAAGCTAAACTTCGTCAACAGAAATGTTGAGAAAATAAAAGAAAACGTCTATCTAATACATCTTCGAGTTCATTTAAAAGTCGTCAATCACTTGCTAAGTCTTTGAAAAAAGTATATTCGTCGCTTCCAAAGTGCGATCAAAAGAAAAAAGATTGTAGTTCAACATCTTGCTGAAATGTTTAATTTGCTTCCAAAATCTAAACACAAACGTACTACACTCCAAGTTGCCGAAAAATTAAGAGATGATGTTCATAATTTCTATTTACGAGATGACATCTCATATCAACTTCCAGGTAAAAGGAATACAGTTGTTGTTAGAGGCGCAGATGGTAGTAGGATAACTTATCAAAAACGAGTTCTACTTGAGAATATACGTGAAACTTATGAATTATTTAAAGAAGAAAGTAACAATGTTGATTTAAGTCGTTCTTCATTTGCTGAATTGCATCCAGTATTTGTCATTCCAAAAGCTGCATTAGCACATAGAAATTGTTTATGTGTCTATCATGAAAATGTTACTTTACTTTTAAAATGTGTGGATAAATTTGTTGACGGAAACTATTATTCTTCTTTGCAAGTGTTTACCGATTGCATGTTTGGTTGTTGGTCACTTTGTAAATATTTTTTTCTGAAAAAGTTCCGGAAAATGTCGCAAATGGCAACAACAAAATTACTTGGCCACAATGGATAAACGAAAACGGTCATGCACACAAGAAAGTTCCCAGGAAGTGTTGATGAAGCGATTCTATTGTTGAAATAGGAAGTTGAACATTTTTTATTTCATGTATATGGCAAACGAGAACAATCAAAGATTTTTGAAAAATTAAAAGCGAAAGTTACTGATGAGAAAATCGTATTGCAGGTTGATTTTGCAGAAAATTTCAATTTGAAAGAACAGCATGAGATTCAAACAGTTCTTTGGCATACAAAATCATTGAGTATATTTACTGCTTTTGTTTGGTCGAAGAAGGGAAATTTTTCGTTTGCTTTACCATCGTTAGATGTTTCTCATGACAAGTTTATTGTCAATGCAGTATTGGAAATCATTTTAAGTCAGGTTAAAGCTGCTCTTCCAAATATCAAAGAAATCTACTGTTTTTTCATGGTGCTGCTTCACAATTTAAACAATGTTTTCTTTTTCGTCGTTTGATAAAAATTATTAACGAACATAAAATACAGTTGAATTGACATTTCTTTGCAACTTCTCATGAAAAGGGCGTTGTTGATGGAATCGAAAGAACCGTAAAATGTCTTGTATGGTCGGCTGTAACAGTGGGAGGAGTATATAGAACAGCTGAAGATTTCATAACACTTGCAACGAAAAAACCTGACAAAATAGTTCTTAATGCAATCACGAAATGTGATATTGATAAATCGAAAAATAAACTTGAATGCATTTCAAAATGACAAAATCTGTTCCACAAACGCTCAAAATGCATTGAGCTAAAGTAATTAATAATAATACACTGGAATTTCGCTATTACTCTATGTGTTCTGAAAAACAAACAGTTAAATATTGATAGTAGATGTATACATTCGGTATCTCATTTTGCTGAACTGCGTTTTTTTCATTATGTGTGTATTCAGGGAACTGATGAAAAGCAAAAATATATTTTCTGAACTAGGGTTTTGTTGATTTATGCTTAGATATGAAAAAGAAGAATTGTACGAAAAGATACGTAGTGGAAACACTTGAAAATAGATGAATAAAACTGTAAAAAGCAAAAAACAAATTAAAAATACATTAAAATAAATAAAAAAATAAAAAAATTCATCCAGTTCAAGGGAGACCGGGTCTTCATCCCGAGCTGGATAAACACTAGCTTTAAAGGTTGCAAAACTTCAAGTTCTAATGACAATGTGTCTCCAAGACAAGTTCGAACGCAGGTGAAAATCATAACATGATGCAGCAAAACTATGTCAGTATGAGTGGCATATGATAGATCTCAGTAGGTACCAGCAGAGACTAAATCTAGGAATCTCAGAAATGGTTCTTGAAAACTTGCAACAGCTACTTCTGTCGAATTTACCATCAGTATAAACTAAATTATCAATCCATCGAAAATTGGTGTCACAGTGTTACGTTTTCTTCTTTGCTTTTTGTACGAATAATAATAGCTAGAGAAAATTTTTTTATCGTTGGATAGCTCTTTGGATACTCTAGAACATTGGTTCTAGCAGCATTTTATTTAGAGATCATCTTTCGCAGGAAACTTGACCACAAGTCAGAGCAATAAAAGCTCAAGGACCAGTTTTGTCACAGCGTTATACGACCATAAATCGTTTCTGGAATCTAAACGGTTCAATCGAAAACGTTCACTTTTACAGTGTAAATAAAGCTCGAAGAGCTGCATCGAATGACGCGTGAACGGACTCTCTAAATATCATAATTTTCGAGATATCTTAAACAATGTGTGTCAAAAATGTCACAGCGTTACGCTTGGACAAACCGAACTATTGAGTTTTTAGGTATCGTTGTTTTATACGGCATGAGTGGAAAGTATATGACGTTCATGTATTTTGTGGAACGCTTCTGGAATTTCCGCCTTTTATAATCGGTTTATTTTTTGTGTGAATCGATATCGCTTTTGGGAATCAGGTCATTGTCTGACAACTCGTGAGTAATGAAAATCTTTAGCGTTGTATCGAAGTGTGGGAAATCTTTGGAAAGATAGCCTGTCTCTTGATGTGTGTTTTGGTTTTTTTTATTTTCGATTTACTATTATTTTGCGAGAATTGTCGAAATCCAAAATAATTTCTAGTGTGGTTCACGAGACTGCTCATTCAGCATTGAGTGGAAATTTATGGGGGATTTCAGAAACGGTTTAAGGGTTTCCCAGGATACAGAATTATTTTAGAGTACAGGTCCAATATTTTCAGTCACAAGAAAATAAAAATCTCATTTCTGGTTCAATTGTTTTTGATATGCGAAGCAACAACAATTAAATATATCCTTGAATCAGTTATCATTTAGATTGAAGCAAGAACATTTGCATACATTAAAAAAACAAACCATATATATATTAAAACTCTATTTCTTCTTCTCAGCAAATTTATAAAATATCTTAGTGAAAGAGTGAATGCAGATAATTTGTGCAAAGACATCAATACGCACCGACATTCACACCTTAGGCATTTAGACTCACACTCTAATGTTTGATTGCACAATGTCATCATCATGTTAGTTGTGATATTAAATGTAGAGTCAT